AGATATCCTATCTCCTAGAACTGGAAGGGACCTTGAAAGGTCATCGAGTCCAGCCCCCTGCCTTCACTAGGAGGACCAAGTACTGATTTTGCCCCAGATCCCTAAGTGGCCCCCTCAAGGATTGAACTCACAACCCTGGGTTTAGCAGGCCAATGCTCAAACCACTGAGCTATCCCTTCCTCCTCCCTCCCCCCCCCCCCCGCCCGTTCAGGTGTTGTGTCCTTGCACCCCTTGTTTACTCACTCCTGTGAGTACTTGCTGGTACAGGTCTCTCAAATCTCATTATGGGGTTCTCTTTTCTTATGATGCTGGGAGGGCATCTCTCTAGGCTCTAGTATAACAGACTTTTGCCTCCACCTCTTCCCTTGTAGGCCGGGATATCATCGGGCTGGCAGAGACAGGCTCTGGAAAAACAGGGGCCTTTGCTTTGCCCATCCTGCAGACACTGCTGGAAACACCCCAACGCTTCTTTGCTCTTGTCCTCACACCAACCCGAGAGCTCGCCTTCCAGATCTCGGAGCAGTTTGAAGCTCTTGGATCCTCCATTGGCGTCCAAAGTGGTGAGTGGCCTTCTAATGGGCCTCAGAATTGTACAGTATTCTGATGTTACTGTGTGAAAATTTGAGGGAGTAGGACAAAGCTGTTAAACTGTAAGGAAGGGAGTAGAGAGTATGGAATGAGGGGAGATAGAAGAATAGAGCATGGGAGTGGGGTTGGAGAAAGGATCATTGGTGAGGGGATAGTATTTATGGTGGTGGTATATCACCTTTTAGTGTGAAAAAGAGCATGTAGCAGTCTGTCTTCCCTGAGGTGTACATCCAGGCAGTGGACATTTCCCAAGAGGGAAGTGGGGAGGATCACCCATAACCACATGTTAAATTGTCAGCCATAAATTTGAGTCACCACCCCCAATGAACTGAATAGGGGAGTTCACACCTATCAGGCTTTCTTTGCAGACTCCCTGCATCAGTTCCATATTCAAATTAATGTTTTAAGGTTTAGTTTGCAACCATAAGGGCTAGGAACTCTGAATGAATGCACAGATTTTGCAGCTAAATTTAGCAGCAAGGGGTGGATTTTGCAGCTAGCTTTGTGACTGTGGAAAACATAGGGCCATGACAGTAAATGAGCTGGGACTTGAAATCTGGATTAGGATATCTGGGGGAAGATAGTTACTGGTCAGGGATGCCAAAATGAAGTTAAAGAGAATTCGTATTAAGATAAGTGGCTTTAAATTCCTATACATAAATTGTGGGTGGATTTGAAAGGGGACAGGAATAGGTAGATTGTTGGTTATAGTGGTGGCTTGTACTGGTTCTGTTCCAGGGGGACTCACTCTGCCTCTGTTTTTTTTTATTCCCCACAGCGGTTATTGTAGGTGGAATTGACATGATGTCACAGGCTCTGACCTTAGCCAAGAAGCCACATGTTATAATTGGTAAGAAATCAGCATGTAGAATGATGCTTGTAATAAGATCACAGGCCTCCTAAGGAATGTGAAATGGTGGTGTTGGTTGTCAGAAGTTCCTATATGTGTCTGGCGGGAGCAATGAGTGTAACCTCAGTGTGTTCCTCTTGGCTTTGAAGAAAGGACAGTGGATGCAATGCAAGCTCATCTCAAAATTGTCCAGCCAAGTTTCCTTGAGACTGGTCTCCCATTCTCCCCCAAGAACTCAAGAAGCATGGTCTAGAGCTCTTCTCAGGATGCCTCTGATCTGGCCCACTTTTTCCCTTGGAAAGCCTGGTCTGGTTGTCTCATTTTAAGACAGCTCTGGTGCACAGGAGCTCTTCCATCCAGGGAAAATCAGTCTGCTTTGGCTTCTCACCAATCATCTTCAGTTCCCAGCACAGCTCCATACTGCTGTGAGTGCCTTTACAATCTTAAGCAAAAGAAGCCAATTCTATAGCAGAGTCCCTCCCTCCTCACTTGCAGTGCCTCTTCCCTCCTTACGTGGACTGCATTCTGGGACATTTTTCCCATTACTGTCACCTTTACCTTTCTTTTTGATTGTCTGTTGGTAGCAACACCTGGCCGTCTGATTGACCATCTGGAGAACACAAAAGGTTTCAACTTGCGAGCTCTTAAGTACCTGGTTATGGATGAAGCTGACCGGATCCTCAACATGGATTTTGAGACCGAGGTGAGGCCTACGATACCCGCTGTAAAGGAAAAGTCCTATAGAATTTAACAGATTAAATCAATGCAGTCTTAAGGAAACTATTCTAAATGTCTATAAGACTTAATAGAACAGTGGTTCTCAAATGGCGGGTCAGGTCCCCATAGTGGGTCACCACCCCATTTTAATGGGGTTGCCAAGGCTGGCATTAGACTTGCTGGGGCCTGGGGCTGAAGCCGATGCCCAAGCCCCACTGCCTGGGGCAGCAGGGCTCAGTTTACAGGCCCTCGGGCTTCAGCTTTGCCTTCCTGCCCCCCTGGGGTGGCAGGGCTCGGGCAGGCTCAGGCTTTGGTCCCCACTCCCGGGGTTGTGCAGTAATTTTTGTTGTCAGAAGGGGGCGCGGTGCAATGAAGTTTGAGAACCGCTGTAATAGAAAATGAAATCTTGCTGTAGCTTTATTAAACTATCCCACAGAACTTAATAGTAAATTCTATCTAACTTTTAACATCCCGTAGAATTCTCTCTTAAATGCTACACAATGATTTAAACACTTTAGAAATGAGCTAATCTCTGTTAAATTCTGTTGGATTCTTCCCTAAATGTTTATCTTGTTGTTCCTCGTTAGGTGCACGTGCTGATGTACACACTTCTGCAGCTATACTGGC